TAACGACTTGGCTCCTCTCACCTTGTCTTCCCCCCACCATCTCTTATTTACACACACACACACACCTTTGCAAATAGAACATATTTTGAACCGATTTCGTTGTCTGACATATTGAATGGGTGTGTTGCAGTCGAGTTTTGTTACTTCCTTCTATTTTCACGTCACATAGGTGTCGACGAGGCGGGTATGGTGACGTACTCGTCCTGTTGTACCTTGGAGCTCAATCTAGAGCCCTCGCAAACAGTTGTATAGCGACAAGTAGTTAAGCAGAAGAAGTATAGACAGGGAAAGGGATTCTTGAAAGCCGAGATAATTTCCCTTTTACTATCCCCAAATAGTATTCCGACGCTTCATAGCGCAAGGCTCGCAGTGCCTGCGGCCATCTGTATTCTATCCGTTTAGGCAGCCGTCCTGAGCGCCACATATCTGTTCGGCAGCCTTTGTTGGAATTGGCCTAGTTACTTCCCATGGCAAAGGAGTGCAATACAAACTGTTAACGGCGACCGAGTGTTTCACAAAGCTTCGTGCGCTTGACCCGACTTCCGACAACCGTGCTCACCTAACTCGGACTCGCGTCTGGTTGTATCCACCCAGTGGGCGCTTACCGTCAGAAGTCGTTGTTTCAATACCTTTGCCAGCGTGGCCGGGCATCATGCGCTTAGCTGATAGTAAGGCATCCATCGGAGCGTCGTAGGTCAGCACTGAGGAAGTACTGTAGGTACTCAGATGTGGAGCAAGTGTTTCGTAGCGATTCCTGACCTTCATTGTGCCGTGGCATTTTTTGCGGGCCTAATGTCCTTCCGTTTTCCGATGTGCCCCATTTTGGCGAGCCAACATCCTCAAGAGCTTAGGTTCGCTGTTGAAATCCCACCCTAGACAACTGATAAACCTATGAACGTATATGATAGTGCAGTGCTTTCTTCAATGACCATGCATTTCCTCAACTGAGTTATTGTTTCGAGGAGCAAATACATACTCTGGACTACAGTCTGGTTCCATGCAGGTCAAACTTCGACGACTCATTATTCTACGAGGTATTGTTTGCCAATAGAAGCGAAGAGACGAGATCTATGTGAGGGGGATATTGCTGGGTCTTTGGCAAAGTGACCGGGTTGTCAAACCGTTTGTCGGGCGCCAGTTCCCATGGCGTGCTGCCATAGTTCCCAGCCTCCGCCTCGGCTTCCATCCTATCTGGTCAGTGCAGCCTCTCTCCACACTGACAAGTCTAAGTCTTGATTCTTCTGAGATGAAGTAATCCTGCGAAAGAACTGCGCGCCTAAATGCTCGCGAGTTCGCACGAATTCCTATAGCTCTTTGGCGAGATCCACGGGAAGTTTTACTGCCGTGAATCTTACTCCAAATGCCGTTACTGGATTTGTCTCGTCCGCCCCACCAATCGGAATCGTTGACAGAGTCAGTGGTTTGCACCTGTGGAGTGTCCCCGAGCTCGCCAAGCCCGAAGGCCTTGGAACAAATGGAGGCTCTAGCAAATTGGACCAAGTGGACGCTCATTTTAATTAGACCATCGGCCTTAATTATGTCTGTTTTCCCTATTGTGGTGAAAATGTCCGATCTTTTGGGGACAGACATTATGATGACCAGCTTCCCTTCATCTAACTAGTTCTGTACTGTCAGATGAGACGATCAGATCTGTCCGAGTTTCCATCAAATTAAATTAGTCATTGCCTAGCCGAAGTTGCCTTTTCTAGCAACCCTGTGTTGATGGGCTAGTCTCACAGCAATCTCTCGAATTAAACTTTTTGACCCTGCTTACCTTTATTTCGCGCATTTTATCCCGTCTGGCAGTATAGGCTTGTACTTTCATCGCCTTCTAGACCATAACAGACGGAAACACAGTGCTGCTGAAGCATAGATAAACGCTCAGACACTGGCCGGAGATCACCTGTTGCTTTAATTATTTCCATGGCGCAGCAAATTGCACATAGGCATTTTTCGCAAATTTATAAGCGCGCGAATGCAGAAACAGTATTTAACCGTGAGGCCAAAACCTTCTCACCACTAACGCGACTTTCAATGTTGGCAAACAAACCCTAGAAGCGTGCGTCAGTTGCGCCAAAGTCTGCTCACATCTCGACGAATCGCTGTGTCGGCCTCCGTCTACTTAGGAACGTATGCTACGACCCCTGAAATAACCGGCTGACCGGAAGAGGTGGATGTTTTTGCAGTGCTATTCAGTCTCATCCTATACGAGGACAAATTCAAGTGGGAGCTGTCAGATTCCAGCGTTCGAAGTTTCGTAGCCCTTTATACACTTTCCCCTAGGAATTCAGACTGCCCCGTGTCCGAACCTCCGCTGGAAAATAGCACCTAAATCTCTTTGTGTTGGCTACTGCCATGTCATGACCGTCAAGGCGACCGGAGAAGAACCTGGTAGTAAGGTAAAGGCGTCAGCAAGGACTTAATTGGCGGACAAGGGTATGGTTTGTAGCTGGGGTAGGTTCAATATGCAAAACCCGCTATTACATTTATTTAAGTAGACGTTGTTCGATTACGTCGTTGGTTGTGTACTAGTCAGGCCTTAGCTTCAGCCTGCCCGACGGGTTTCATCAGCTTGTGCTATTCACCCTACAATCAACCACTTCGAGAACCAGACGTTACAGAAATGTCTATATAGACTCATTAGACTGCCCTTCGCCCCGAGCGTGTTAGGTGTAAGACGAGATTCGTGCGCAGTCGACGGCATCCCTGCGTCACCCTCCTATACGCATTCTGCCGTCGACATAGTTGTCGGGTGCAGGTAGTCTTTATAATTCCAGAACAGTCCTTCATGGCTGCCTCCTGTAACTGTGTCAGTTAAGCCCAAGTCCACTTGATTAACATATCAGAAGCAGAGTATTTTAGAAACATGAACATTCTTACGGATAAGAAAATCGCCTGTTACGCCCCATTTCCGTACGGCTTATCCGTCGTCCGGCTGCTGCCCAGGATACACTTCCGCGATGTGGGATGGGAATGCTTCCCACGCTTATGTGAGGCCGGCGGCGTTTAGTCCAAACCATAGGCGATATTTTATCTTTTCAATGTGAACCCAGGCCCCCCGGCCTGACGCAGGACCTCCTCCAGGCAATCTCTTTTTCAAACGATCCCAATACACCTTGATTGCGTCCGAATGCCTTCCATGTAGTAGATACTCTGTCCTGGCAATGCTAAACCAGCTTACTGGGATTTAGTACTTCCATCACTTTCGTCGGTAGATTCCTCTGAGATCGTCTGCGTTTTGCAATTCTTCCGGCCTGCGATCTGCGTTTAAAAGCAACGAATTAGTTTACTTTTTGTCGCTATTTGCCTTTATTTAAACTTCGAATTGTTTACAGATATTAGTGATTACAACTAAATTAACGAAGTGCATTGCTGTGCTTCTAAATTTAACCTGTTCATTTGCCTTCCCACTGAGATCATCGTTACATATCATGACTTATTTCCAGTGCGTAAAACCACTCATCTGCATGCAGGCCATGCCTCTATATTGCTATACTTGACTCTTTCTTCCATTCTTTCCTGTCGCGATTTATTTAATCTTGTATGGCTTCCTTCTTCTTCGTTTTTCATTTGCGTAACTCAATGTAGATTAATGTGTCTCGTGTTAGTCGCTACGATCTGCCTTATTCGGACGACCGATTGACGCCTGCGACCAATTACCATTGACTGTGTTTTCTCTTGAAACCTGACCTTTCGTTGGTTAGACTGCGGTGGTTTACTCAGTTGCCTGAAATTCACCGACCACCGGTTTTTGGTGTTTTTTTTAAACTTGTGGGCTTAACTACCGTTTACGGTAACAATCGGGAGATGGCACCCAAAAAAATCCGCCTAACCAAAGCAGCCTGTCTTACGGGACAGGTGGTATTAGGGGTTTTATGGGTGATGGCTGGTTGGGATGTACGCTACTAGCCGACAGAACGCCTTATTTGAACAGGTGAATGATCGAAGTTGGCCCGCTCCCCGTTCCGTTATTACAAAATGAGTCGCCAAAGGCAGTATAATGGTAACGGACGAGTGGAAGGCGTATAATCGTCTTCCCTTAGAACGTTATCTACATTTCTCTGTTAACCACTCAAAGAACTTCAAGGAGCCTACCACCGGGCGACACACCAATGCCATTGAGGCATACTGGAGTAGACTGAAAAGGAAACTCCACGAGGGAGGCCCAGTATGTGGTCGAGCTGTGTGGGCACACAGAGACGAAGTACAGTATCGTCTTTGATTTGGCCTCAATGCCATGTCTTTGACAGACGCCTGGGAACTGTTCCTGTCCCATGTTGTGCAGACTCATCCTATTTAAAAGTGATTTTGTTTTGTAATAAACTGTCATAATGCGAATGTATGCCGTATATTCAGGTGTATGTGTGTAACGATAGGGAAGGTTGGGTAATAGCGACCATCGTCCATGTAACCTCCTGCGATGTTCGTTCGGCGAGCCCATGTTAGGCCGTCGCAGAAAGTCCAAGTAGTGCGTGAAAGTAGGCCTTCAACCGCTGAGATGGCCTGAAGGCGTTTGAGTCCACTGTTAAATGCATTATTTCTAGGTAACGGATTTTTTTGGGGTGCCATCTCCCGATTGTTACCCCGTTTACTTTCCCAGGACGTTAGGAGGTTCACGATGCAATTTAACTTCTTCTCCCTACTTTGCTTTCACGGGATATTTTTACGTGCATCCGAAGGACCCCTCCTATAACTCCCATTACCACTATTGCCGCAAGATAGGCTCCTCTGCTTACCCGTTGCTGACCCCTATTACAAACCATACCCTCGCCCATTGGGGAACAGACTTTCTAGGTGTAACTGGCCCTGTCGGCATGTCAAGCCACTGCTTCGTAAAACGTTGCCTTTCTAGCCCGCACAGTCTGTTAACGCAACTTACTCTACAGGGGATCCGAGCCTTCATTATTTGGGAGATAATATTGCGGCTCTTAAATGTATGACTTATCAACGATTGAGGCACTGATTCATGTGTCGCTTTGTTTTCACCCTCTACTGACAGAATGCCGCTCATCCTCCTCTGTGGCTATCCGTGCTCTGGAAAGAGCACAGTAACTGCGCTGCTGGCAGGATGTCTGCGCGCCCAGCGGCCCGACTACCAAATTGAAGTGGTGAGTGAAGAATCGATAGCCGGAGCTCCATCTGGCGGCACCGCCGTCGATCCGCGGGTTGCCATCTACACGGATGCTAATTTGGAGAAACAGTTGCGTGCTGAGATCAAGTCGCAGGCAAGTGTGGACCTTTATTTGTCGCACTTTCCTCTCATTTTGCTCATTTTCCTTCTCTCATCTCCCACTCCATTTTCCTTTTGAGCCTTGTCTCCTTTCTGTTAGTGTGACTATCAAGATTTTCAGTCATACTGTTCTCCATGTCAGCCAAACCCGGCACACAGAAACACACACATTTAATCACGCATAAGGCTACGGAAGCCAGTAGCCTACATGACACTGATTGACTACTTGATGTCAAGGCCAGTGTAACGGGACATGGAATAAAGACGGCCCTGGGATGGGTCGGTGATCACCTATGTATTACTGGTTTCGCTCCTTTTGCTTATGCGATGGATAGGAAAGAGAGCAAGATATGACAGGATATACACGATTTCCTCCGAGCGAGTTTAGTGAATGTTCAGCTATGAATATTCATCTTTAGGTATTGATTTGTCAACCGACTCTAGTTCACTCTGGTGACTTTCCTAACTGTGATCAAGAGAGCATGTACGAGGAAAGATATCTTAATATTCTTAGCCTGTTAACCTGCGTTGCTACTTTTGTACCATAAAAATTTAGTGATTTTTGCCGCGGTTCTTGTCGTTACAGCTGTTTCTACTTTGGAACCGCGTCCCAAAGTTGACTCTCGTTTTTTCTAGACAGAACGGGCTTTGACGGGTAAGAAGCCTAACAACACTATCGTACTTGTGGACGCCAACAACTACATAAAGGGCTATCGCTATGAACTGTACTGTACCGCCAAGTCGATGCGTCACAAGCAGGCCATCCTTCACTGCACCACGGGCCTGGACAAATGCCGTGAAATAAATACTAAGGCATGTTCAAAGTTTCATGCTTCAATGAGTGAAATCTTCCTTGTTTTTTTAATCATCCTTCCTTATCTGATTGGCACAATTCCCCGGTATACGAAGCCGAAAGTCCGATACCTTCAATCAACCGCACGACGCTGTTTTTGTACGGAGCCAACCGACATTTTGCTGTTTACTTGATCGCTCCTCAGGTGACCATATGAAGTAAGTAATCACGTCCAAAAGATATACAGACAACCGCAGGGAGACTTCAGTGACAATTTTTGCCCTTGGAAATGGCATATTTGCGATGATGCTACCCTTCTCAGGGCAGTACCGTTCAAAGTGCTCGAGGGCAAACTCTTTTGGGCTTGCGGCTGCATGGATCGAATACATTTTTGCAACCCCGTATGCCACAAATGATGCCTATGTGCTAGGCCTTCCAAAACCTCAAAAATGCTCTTTGTCTTTTTTCATCTCACTAATCTATGAGATCCAACGGTTGATCCCGATTCTCTCGAAAGTTTGCCGAGCATTTCAAAGATATGGAAGAAAAACCGCAAAAATTTACGACATTTGTGATATTATCGTAGCATCGGGCTCGTGGTTTTCCCACCTCTGCGCAGAAAAGCCAAGCCATCGACCAAGTCTGTGTTGGCAGCCTGATGCGCTGAAGTACTTCCACACCTTTTTTCAAGACTAGCTCAAAACTTTACCCACAATGTCACCGGTTACATAAGCATAACGAAACAAGGCAACTTTCAGACGTCTCTAGCGGCAGTGAGTGCTGAGGGTAGTTACCCCTGGGCTTTGATCCTACCCGACAGTTCGAGGGGCTTTTCCGACGATGTCCCCCGTGCGCTTCGCATCATGGTAAGAGCAGGGACCTGACCTGTGCGTGAATTAGTTTATAGTGATAGTAGACTTGCACAGCACCTGCTGCACTTTCTCTTCCCCACTCTCCACCTGGACCCGGTGTCAAGAAGACCGGAAGTGGAAAAGGGTGCAGGTGGCTGGCGCGGCCGGACCCGCACCTAGGCGTGCCACCACACCCCTGGTCAAAAGCACACACATAACCAGGCTTTTTCACCAACAACAACACGTCGACAGGTGTCAGAAGGACGACGATGACTGGTAGTCATGCCCACCACCTGTATACCCAACGAGAGCACAAGCGCATCTACCGGTAGGGAACCAGGTGTCAGGAAACTACCAGTGCATACCAGGCTGCGAGGGCCATGATATGCTGATACCGGCGTAGCACACGCTTGCAGACCTTTTAACCTAGGAGAGCGACACCTGGTCCTGCATTTAGCCTGGGCCGTTACCCTTTAAGGTTGGGTAACCAAACGGTCGTCGACTGAGAGGCACTATCCATGCACGAGAGTGTCACAGATCGCTCGAGAAGGGGCCGTGACAACCTGGCTCCCAGCCCATCAGTCCGCCACACCACACAAGCACACGCATAACTGGACAGACTGCGTAGACTGAGTTGGGGCGTCAGTCCGAGCCACGTCGCTCGACGCACCGTCTTCAACTCAGCAAGGGAGCTGCATGCTGAAGGAGCCGAGACGCAGACTTCCCACTTTCGTGGGAGGTGGCAGTTGGGTGCTTGCGGTGGATGATGTTGATGTGCGGTGCGATGCTGGTGAGAGAGGATGTGGTGGTGTGGTTTAGCCAGCGGTTGTCTATCACAGGTTTTCGTGGAGGCGCATGTGGCCTCATAGACGCACGCGGTGAATAAATGTGCGGGTACAATGTGGACAGTGGAGGCGGATGTGGCGAGTGTAGGTTGGTGCCCCAGACACTGGTTCGCCAGTCCCTGTGAGACGTATTCGCAAGTGACCGACCACACCGATGCGTGAGGCGAAGGTACGGGGACAGTGTAGACACGAGGAGTTGGTGGTGCCAGTATCAGCTTCGATGATGGTAGTGGTGGTGGGCGCGTTGTGCGACGGGGCGTGGGTTGGGCTGAGCATGATGGGTGTGCAGGATGTACTAAGTGTGATGGGGCTGGTGGCGGTAGGCGCGCTGGGCGGCGGAGTGTGGGCGGGGCAAGGCATGGTGCGTGTCCTAGGTGTGTCGAGACTGCGTTCAATTCCGCTCTCATGGATACGCATGTGGCCGAATAGGCCCATGTGGTGCATGAATATGCGACGGCAGTGTGGACAGTGGAGGCGGATGCGGTGGGTGTAGGTTGGTACTCCATGCACTAATTCGCCAGTCTCTGTACGATGGATTCGCAAGTGACCGACCAGGCCGATGTTTGTGGTGAAAGTACGATTGCAATGTGGCTAGGTATAGACCTGGTCCTCCTCACTGGTATTGACGGTGGCGGTGTTTGCTGGTGTGTCAGGGTTGTGTGTAGTGTTGATGGACATGGCGGACGCCGCAGCGGTGGAGGAGGAGAATGAGGAGATGGGGGAGGATTAGGAGGAGGATCCTACCATTTCCCTACCTTAGTGAGATCGGCTACCTTTTGTCGTCCTAATTTGGTGGAGGCGCTTCTGCAAGGCATTCTTTGCGGACTCATCGAAGGCACCTTTACACTCAAGTACGCCCTGTCGATGTCGTTGAAAAATGTTAGAGGACCTGTCGCAAAATGAAAATGTGGCCACAGTGCGTGCGATCCGATCTGAATGAACTCCTATACTCAACAGAGCGGAGACCTGAACCGTCCATGCAAGCCACTCACTTCCATCTCAACTTCCTTCGCGGAATACTGAGGCTGAGATAGCAGGACAAGGTCCCGGACAAAGAAGTTCTGGAACGAACCCGAATTCTCAGCATCCCCGCCACGCTGAGGCCACTGCAACTGCGATGGAGCAGCCATCTGGTGCGAATGGACAACGTTCGCCTACCAAAACAACTCTTCCACGGAGATATCGCAACGGCGGGTCGCCGACCGGCAGGACAAAAACGACGCTACAAGGACATTGAAGAATTCTCTTAACCTATTGCAGATCAACCCAGAGACCTGGGAGGACCTCGCTCAGAGCCGACTGACCCCCGAGAAGAGAAGACTGGCGCAGCCATCTACGAAGCCAAGGTCAACAGGTCTGCTCCTAAGTCTCAGGCACCTCCGAGTAGTAACATCGCTACTCAATCCCACCCAACTTGCCCGCATTGCCATCGAACATTTCTCGCGCGGATCGGTCACGCCAGTCATCTTCGGACCCAATGCACCAATCACCTGACGACCGCACTTGCTGCCCCCATGGCCGCGCCTGCTCCAACCTCCGCATCCGTCACGTCAGCGCTCATCCTCACTAACGTTGCTTAGAATCTCTCTATCAAACTGCCGTCGGTCATTGCCGCCTCCATTATCTCTGTGACAACTACCACGGCAACGGCGGAGACAACCACCTCTATCGCCACCACCTCCAACGACCAAAACGCTCCTGACGCCCCGACAACCATCAATACATTCATCATCACCACCCCCACCTCCAGCGACGCGTGCTCGGTCCCGGCATGTCTTCATTGCGACCGCACATTCACATTCTTGAGGCTCGCGGCTCGGCACTTGGGATACACGAAATCTCGATGAGTGTAACGCACCGTCATTTTTACGAGGGAGTGTTTTGTTTCTGATTTTAGGGATTTTTTAATACCTATCTAACTCATAATCCGAACTTAAACTCGACTCTGTAGCATCCTCACACCAAACGGAGTTCCTAGAACGTGATTTGCATCAGGAGCCGTTATTTGCATATTTCAATCAAAACGCGACTTTACATTGAGCTATCCTTTGAGAATGCTAGCCGCATTCTTTGCGTCTGATTACTCAATGTTTTTTTCGATGCTGCATGACATCTGGAGGCACCCCACCTAGCACTTCCGGATAGTTTTTTTACAAATATTTTAAGATACCTTGAGAGGACTAACGTCACGGTAACCGACTGAACTGCAAGAGCATGCGGCTAGACCCATTGATTCCAACTCGACTTGGATAATCGAGACTGGAAAACGATGACTTGAGGCAACCACTCGTCAAGACTGCTCGCAATTGCACAACTTCTTACCTCACTCGTATCGTGTTAGTTGGTCGCCCTTCTTATTCCAAATGTACTTGTGTACTTCGGTTTCTGGAAGTACGGGAAGAATCGCCTGCCTTGCTCAGTTGACTGTTGTTTTAAGACCCCCAAACCCCCCTTTCCAATAGGAAGGTTGGTTAAAAATGCACTTAGTAAATAGGATGCAGAATCGGAGGCTTAAGCCGAAAAAACGAGTTCCCCTATTCTTTCCCAACTTTCCCACCAGAAACCCATTTTGGGTCGATGAATTTAACGGTCACAGCATTACCTAAAGCTAGCCGCTGCTGACAAATCCAACTCTTCCTGGACAACATGGAAGATATATTCAGGAGTTTAGAACACGCGGCTACTGTTTCCGTCTTACCCTTTCGAAACTAGCCTTATTTGTAAAGGCAATCTCAGGCCGGTATGGCTGTGGCTGAAGTAGATCAACTTCGGAAGTTATGACGAACAAAACAGCCTTTGAGACCCTGTGGGCTGGTATTTTTTCATGATGTAGGACAAACTTGACAGGTCCCTTTCAGGAGCGACCGCTGATCAGGTTTCGGAAACTATCAGTAGGCCCTCCTCGGCGGACCATTTATCCATTGCTGTGGGGATAGATCCAGAAAGACGTATTTTGCCAGCCCTATATGAAAGCTAGAAATTGTTGACTCGGCCTTTTTATAATTGACCTACTACAGACACCCGACAAGGCATATGCATCCTGAGGATGTAACGTTGGGTCATTTTATCATGCTGTTATCATGCTGATATAGTTATTATAATGAACGCCTTTCCCATTCCTCTCTCTGTCGCAGCTGGGTCGCTATCCGGAGACCGTCTTTTCCGAAGTGGTCACTCGTTTCGAAAGGCCAAATCCCTCTTCCCGTTGGGACACTCCCCTCTACGAGGTCTGCCTTTCCGAAGACCTTGAACAGGAGGAGGAGGCGGGCTGCGGTCAGAATCTTAAAACCGTTATTGATCAGCTGACCGCCCGGATTTTGAGTGAACTTTCATCGGGCGCCAGAGTGCGTCCCAACCAGTCCACGGTTCCCGCACAGGCGGCTGACTCGAGCTATCTGCAAGTAATGCCTTATGTCCTTTAAGCACTCGTGTTTCTCCTGAGGACGCGAGTGCTCGAGAGGTTATCTTTGCAGTGGTTACATGTTTTAATGATAGCGTCTATCGGTTAAATTGTCACGTGCATTCATGTGTTGAAATCGGATTTTGGCATCTTTCTTGTGCCAAAGTCGTGCTAATGAATCCATTTTCGTTTATAACCACCTTTTTGCCACCTTAAGCCAGGTTGGCCATGAGCCCTGATGGTGCCATAAGTTACACTGACAATTACAAACTATCTCATGGTTCACTTGACCCAGTTGTAAAAAATTCGGCTGCCTCGGTGGGGTTTGAACCCACGACAACAAATGAAAGGCTCGTGCATGCCACTTGTGTGATGTATGGGCTGATGGTGTAAGGTCTGCGGCGTTTTACCGCAAGTTTTCATGAAGGCTCATATGGCTGGATAGGCCCATGTGATGATCAAATGTCTTTGGACAGTGTGGGCAAGTGAATCAGGAGGGATTAAGGGAGGGCGGATTAATGTCCTCTCAAGGTTGTCGCTGCAGAAGACAGTCTCGATGAATTCGCTCTATGAAAGCCGCATTAGGTTGAATCGAAAACGAGAGTAACGAGCTGCTTAAACGAGTTTTTTTCTTCAAAGCTCTTAACGTTCATTGACATCTTTTTCGATACGCAGAAAGGACATGAAGATTGTTGACAATATATGTAGTAGGAAAAAATTATATCCCTATCGTAATTTTGACCAAGGTTTGTTTTCCTCTTTTGTCTCGGACACTTAATAAGGGAAAGTAGCACACAGTCTTACATCCAGGGCGGCTTTACAGCTAAGGCTCTAGACGATTTCTTATGTTCACGAAAAAGGAGATGATGTCATGTTACTTTAACATCAATGATGTTTTTGCTCAGCATTCATTTTAGCACATTCAAGAGAAAGAGACAGTGCTTGTGGCAAACCTGTGTAACACAAGTGTGCATGAGGCAGGGGAACGTGGTACAACCATTACCACATACTCTTTGGTGAGAAGTAGACAGTGAAACGTCATAACATATATCGGTGTTGACAAAAATTATAGGCAAAATGACTGTTGTGTGTGCTGAAGACACTTTGATTGATCGCGATATTTGGTGCGCCTCTTATGGGCATATTGTCCTCAATCACGTGCATCTGCTTTTTCGGCAGATTGTGGATAAGGCCACAACTGAAGTGGTTTCGGCCATTTTGGCAGCCCAAGCCAACGGCGCCGCCTTTGCAAGTCTGCCCCCGCATCTAACGTCCCCAGACTCGGGAGATGCACCGAACCTTGATCTCACCGACGGTTTCGCGTGGACGGCGAGCACCCTCGCCAAGGCCAAACGCCAATACCTCTCCTTTTTGCGTACAAATGCCGCTCAGTTGACGTCAGCGACGAAGCGCACCACCCCGTTTGAGGCCGCTGTCTTATTCATGCACTTCCTCAACAGCGAAGCCCAACGCTCCACTTTTCTTGCCTAACGTCTTGCTGCTTCTCCACCCCCTTCACACCTACGGGCTGTCTTCTTTCCCTACTTGGACTTGGCTCACGTTGCACAGGAGTGTTTTGTTGTCAATGTTTGGCCGACTAACAATTTTCGCCAACTGTTATTCATTGCCTGTGTCTTCGGGGATAAGGCCGGAATTCAGCAATTTATGTCGATGCAAAGTGTCACCTATTCAAATTTACACTACTTTTTAGACCTCAGGTCCACTTACCACCTGCATGGATTAAACTTCGCTAGTCTGCCAGTTCACTTTATGAAACATTAGAATTCACATCCTTGCTGGTAGTCTTCGATTGCTAAGCACTCGGCTTCTTGTTTTAGCCGTCTAGGCCCTTTCCTGCGGGTGGAGTGAAACTACACAGGCGGCAGGAACTTAAACTTTTGAAGCCGTGAACTGGAAGGAGTGATCGTCATTGCAACAGCCATCTTTTTCGTTTTCTTGCGCCTAGTTTTACTTGACTTTCAAACGTCAAAAAACGTCTAAACTGTTGAAGATCACCTAGCATACTGGCTGACCTTGTTGTACGTGAGTTTCTCCAAAGTGACCGGCTGGTCTATTATGGAAGTAACAGTAGGAGTGTTATTAGTTCTGCGAATATTCCCATGTTACAATCAAAAAGCCAATTTGGCGAACGCGTGTTTTCTGTAACTCGTCATCAGGCCGAAACAGTTGCACAGAAGCTGAAAATATGCGAAGTTACGGGGTTTATCAGTGATTCAGGGACCCCTGAATCACTTATAAACCCTGTAACTTCGCATATTTTCAGCTTCTGTGTAACTGTTTCGGCCTGCTGACTCGCACTAATAGTTATTGCAGTTAAAGCAGTTATGAACACTACGGAATTTCGGTGAGAAACGCGTAGGCTGAAAGCAGTCCTTGATTTTTATTATAATAAATTTACAAATGTAGTTCATATTGACCCAACTGTGAAAAACTCGGCGCCTCGGTGGGATTCGAACCCACGCAGTAAGGGGAAGGCTTTAGCGCAGCCAACGCTCTAACCACCTGAGCTACGAGGCCCCGCCGAGTTTTTCACAGTTGGGTCAATATGAATTATTCAAAATCTGCCAAAACATCAATGAAATGTAGTTCAACCGACAGAGTTGCATGCGTGCAAATTTGTGTGTGCATGGATGCATTCCGTGACCTAGCATTCAGCTCAATTAGGAGGGCGTGATCCTTAGGACACGATGCTACAGCCTGGACGTCATGATTTCGCAGAACACTAAATCCAGGGGTGTCGAGGGTGATATTGCTGATGGGACGATTTAAGTGGTTATGGAGAACATCAGTTAGGTGTCTCAGTCGTTCAGTCAGGGTATTTGAGGGAAATAGGCTTACGCATTTGAACTCCCTATTTGTACAAAATATCGATAAAATAAGCAAAAACTCGAAGAAATTACAGCATTAAGTGGATGCAAAAATTGATTCACATAGGTCACTGGTTTTATGGTTAAAAAGTCATATAGTGCACTTGCTGCTGCAGCATGTCTGCCAAGCAGACATTTAAATGTTTCCACAGATTGAGACAATGATCGTCTCGGGCAGGTTATTCCATGGTTCCACGACACGGATGGAGAAGAAATACTTTCTCACATTCCATCTACCCTGGGGCACACGTAGTTTGAAGGAATGTTCCCCGGAGGTTAGTTGTAGTGGGGAGTTGGAAAAGTCGTCGCACCGGAGGGCGCAGTCCAAGCCATGCACGATACGGAAAGTTTGTATCAAGTCTCCGCGCAACTGCCTATAACTCAGACCATAGAGATTAAGGTTAGTTAAGCGGATCTTGTATGGCACTGCACTTTGACCTCTTATTAATTTTGATGCTCGCCTCTGCACCCTTTCGAGCAGATTGTAATCCTGATGCGTCCATGGTCTCCAGGCCTGAATTGCATATTCGAGATGCGGCCTTACAAACGTGCCGAAGACTTTGGAGGAGCAGTGTTCATCGAAAACTGCGAATGCCCGTTCGATGGCATATAGCATTGAAGTTGCGGCCTTGGCCGCCTTATAACATTGTGTAGAAAGCCTTAGGCTGTCTGCAACCCAGACTCCGAGATCGGCGTTTCTGCTTCGCGAAGTTGCATTCCGCTCAGACGGTACTGCCGCGTACTAGGGGCCTGATTTCTGAGGCGCATTATGGTACACTTGTACAAACTGAAGGATAAGAACCATCTGCGGGACCACCCGTCCAATAGACAAAGATTTTCTCGATTGTCTCGTCGGCATCATTCTGAATGAATTTCCATATTTTTATGTCATCTGCAAACATGGCACTATCGCAGTCCAATCCATTTTCACAATCAGTGATGAACAAGAGAAAGAGGGTTGGTCCGAGCACTGAGCCTTGTGGGATTACACACTATGGATGTGCGCCTTGAGTGCTGTTGTTCTACGCAGACAATTTGGGAACGGCCGACGAGGAAATTCTCGACCCATTTGAGAAGTTTGCCTCCGATGCCCCTGACTCTCAATTTGTACAGGCGACGTAGGTGCGGAACACTGTCGAAGGCCTACCGGCAATCAACACAGTCCGCATGCACGGAGTGTTTTGCATCGAGTGCTCTTGTTCAGCTTTGCATTGTGTATAGCAAGTTCGTTGCACATGATCGTCCCCTACGAAAGTCGTATTGTGCATTTAAAAAAAGGTTGTTGGTTTCCAAATAAGCTGCCAACGGCTTTTTGATGGTCTTCTCCATAACTTTACAGAAGAGTGATGTCAGACTGGCAAGTCTGTAGTTCGTCACAAAAGCACAACTACCGCTTTTTTAAAGGAGTGTAATGTGGCTGTTTTCCAGTCTGTGGGAAGGATTCCAGCATTAAACAATTTCTGGCAGAGAAAGGATAGTGGTCTGGCCAAATCTCGGGCAAGCCCAAAGAGCAGTTTTGCTGGGATCTCGTTTGGACCAGGAGATTTACATTCCGTCAAGTTTTTTGGTTCATCCAAAATTCCTTCTTCTCGAAACACAATATCTCTAATAGTGGGATCTCCCATGTTCTCGGAACTCAATGGAATAAAGTGTGCTTCACTTTTGAAAAGAGATTGGAAGAACTGGGAAAAATGCTCAACTTTATTTATACTGTCCGATATCTCCAAATCGTCAGGGTCTCCATCTTTCCACTTATGACGGCCCAGAGATAAGTGACATTTCGGTCTCGTGTTGGCCCATTTGCCCCGTACGTTCGGGTGGCTCCCGGCAATCAAAAACATGGTTGCCTCACTAAAAATGTTTAAGGACCCTGTGAGAAGAAAGCCATTCGGAAACTGCCCTTCGTGAACAGCTGTAGACCTGAATCATAGGTTGTTGATGGACTGTCATTCCACCAATGCTTCCTCCTGTTGCTGAGTTCATATATCTGACAGTGGAACCCTGTACGAATAGGAAAACTCGAAGTCATATATCCGTCATTTCGGGATTCGACAAGCTTTTCTTTTGCACTAAGTTTGCAAATGGAACTGGAGCATTTTGCTCCATTACCAGTGCTCTCTGACTTGACTAACCGGCAAAAAGTCCTTCCACCAGACAGAGCTTTTGAAGGCTAACAGGACCGCAGGAGCAGGTTTGCAAATGCTGTTACGGAATTTATCCAGATGTAAGTCGCCTTTCTCAGACAACCACACAGTCCTTTTCTAGGCTGCTTCATTTAAAGATGACCGAATGGGCACAATGGAAATAGGTATCTACGGCTCGTGGTCAAATCTGTCGACACAACGATCACTCCTAGGTTTTCTGAAAACCAACGGAACCGTCTCGGTGTGAATGATTGCTTTCTCTAAGGTCTGCCATTTTGAATGGACACCAACGGTGATGAATTTGGGTAGTACATTCTTTCGATATGGACTTCTGTGAAGTGCCGGAAGGCGCGTAGCTTTGTCGATGGCAGGGTCATAAAAGTTTGTTTTCGCGAAATGTATATTATAAATGCGAAGTGTTGGGGAGTTGAAACCCTTATTAAAAATCAGAATACATTTCGGGAGGCTACTTACTTTTGCTGTACATAAGAATATGAATTCCTGTCCACCTGCAGAAGGCCTAGAAAGGACGATTCTCTTGTTATTAAGACCACTGTTAATCGAAGTGTTATCGCAGAAAGAGGGCTTCAGTGAGACTAATTAAGGTCAACTGATGCAGTTCATGTGGCACCAGCTATATGTGGAGTAATGGCTAGGGCGTTTCCAGAACATACCGGTGATGTCAACACGTACCACGAATACGTACGGTACGAATGGGTACAAGAGTAACGCAAAAAATGCCGGTACCGCTGGACAACTGACGCGCAGCAGACGACTTGGAAAAAATGATGGAATAAGCGTTAGGCATTGTATAAATTACTACTGCGCTGGGCTTCCTGCTGGACGTATATTTGCTTGGAACACGCCATTTAACTGGGGAGAACAGGTCTGTCATACCAAACCGACTCCTTGCATACACCCAGCGTTAATACGGATGATTGTTATTTCATTTTATGATTATCGTCCACAACTGATAGTTTCCGAGTTCTAGTCCCGCATATTCAAAAGCAGTATTCTCTGATGTTTATACGTACTTACAAAATTTCAGGAACATGCTCATTTACATTGTATATAAGTTTATTTTCAGCTTATTCAGAAAGGATGATAGGCAAGGCCTTTGAAAACCCAAATGATTACATGCCAGTACGTTATGACAGGTCGACCGTCGACTTCGACGATGTCCAGCGTGTGCTATAGAACAAGGTGCGGCATAGACGGTGAATTGCGCGTGAATTATTTTATAGTGACAGTAGACTTGCGCAGCATCTACCACACTCACTTCTCCCCACCTAGACCCGGTGTCGATAAGACCGGAGGCGGGGTCGGATCCGCACCTTGGTGTGGCCACTCCAAGGCACAGTGACTGGACGCAGGTGTCGCCTTTGCCATCCGGAACGACATCGTGGGACGACCGCCCTGTCAGCAGCAGAGTATCAACGACCGCCAGTGCGTTATACAC